CTGAAATCCCTTTGGACTAAAAAAAAAAGATGTGTCGGAAAAATAATCATTAAGTGGCTATGAATAAATCTGATTAATAAACATACAAGTATGTCACATTCGTTTGCGTAACTTTTATATTTTTGAATTAATGCCATATTAATTTCCTTATGAAGGATAATCAACGTCAGATATGTAAATATATGTATATATATTGTAATGAATACAAAAAGGAAGCATTCACAAATAGACTAAACAGTAATGGTACTGATGTAATATGCTTCGAAAGCAGGGCGTTATTTTTATTGAGTTTTCAGTCCGAACCAATCTGCTATTTCGTTATATGAACTGTAGTAATTATACAGACCCCCCCCCTTTCCTTTATTTTATTTGGTTCAGTATCGTATTTACCATTAAAAAGTCACAGTTATGTTGCACAAAATGTATTTTATGTTATCTTTCTTGATTTACTTTGTAAAGCGAATCACTGTAGTGGTTAAAATCCCTTTAAACCCATAATTAAATGTTCATTTCAGTTTATTTTTCTGCGTCTTTGGTTGCGTCCTCTGATTATATTCGCATATGTATTTTTAAAAATGTTTAATAAATAAATCCCAGCATATCATTCTCATTTCAATGATAATGATAAATTTTTATCAAACTCTTTTTAGCCTTCATCTAGTAGAACTTTACTGACGAATGCCAAGAACACGAGCGTCATATCTTGCCTTCCAAAATTTTTTATTCACCTGGGAGATACCTTGCGTATACTAGCACCTTTACGATTTTTCATGGTTGGGTTAGGTTATTTGGATATAGTTAAAAGAGATGAGGGCTGTCTGCTTAAAAGAAGGTATGTCTTCGTGGAAGACTTTCTAAGGGAAATTAACTTGAATTAGCGTTGCACATGGGCAAACTACATATGCCTCGTGCAACCAGCCTCTTCGCCGGAACTCAAATCCAGATCAGTGGTCAACTCGAACCCATTATTCAATCGTCTTAACAATTCCATCACTGGTGGAATTATTATTTTCCATGAAAATGCTGACCGCTTTTTGTCTTCAGTTATTATCAGTAGGAATAAATTTCATTCATATCTGGGGGCCAACCAGCGGCCGAGCGGTAAAGTCGCTGAACACTGGTAGTTCGGTTCGAGGTTCGAATCCCCCGAGCGGGCTGGCTGCATGGGCGTTTTCGTGGTTTTCCCCGTGTGTAACGTGTATGCGAGCCAGTTTTCCTTAGAAAGTCCTTCACGAAGGCATCCCTCCCTTTAGGCAGATAGCCCTCGAGGCTTGCCATAATCACATACACACATTTATTACTGGCATCTTCTGCATGGCGCTGCATTTTTCACAAACATTAGTGTATTATTGGATTCAGTAACATGTCTGATATCCGTTCTGAATTATAATATGGTGTGTATTTAATTATGCCAAAGCACACTAGGGCTATCTGCCTAAGGGGAGGGATGCCTTCGTAGAGGACTTTCTAAGGGAAACTGGCTCGTATACATGCTACACATTGAATTATAATATGAGCTACCGAGAAGAACCTCGTTGAACAACGAAGGTCAGGTGTTTATGGTTCATGTATATTGAAAGATGTCGTCCAAAGGAACTGGCCGTTTGTCGTTTTTTCTGTAGCCATTTAGCAGTTCAATCAACTCAGCTTGTGTTTTGTCAGCGTTTGCGATGAAACGACGGTAGAAATTCAGCATAGCCAAAAAATGTCGTAGCTCTTTAATAGTTTAAGATTTTGGACATTCGGCTATTGCTTGAGTTTCTCCGGGGAGTGATGTTACTGCAAAATGGGTTATAAAGCATCCCAAAAAAGGCATAGATTTTCCCACAACACATTTAACTGGGTTCAGTTTCAATCCGTGCTATCTGAGGCAATATAAAACTTGCCTAAGATGGCTCTCGCGCGCTTCTTTATTTGATGACGCTATTAGAGTATTATCCAAATAAAGTATACAAAAATCTAGTTCACCTAATGCTTGATGTATGTATCTCTGACATATCTGTCCTACGTTACGAAGGCCAAATGGCGTAAACAGAAAATCACATAAACCTAATGGGGCTGTTATAACAGTTTTTTCAGTATTGGTTGGATTAAAAGGGAACTGATGATACGCGCAAGCTAAATATAATGTTTAAGTACTCGTTTTCAGTAAAATACCTAGGTACAACTTGGAATAACTTGGAATATTGTATAGGAAGAACCGTCCAAAACAGTGATGGTGTTCAAGCGACAATAATCGCCCAGGGATGGCATGCGCCATTTTTTAACCATATGAAGGAGGCTTGCCGAAGCAATTTTTGACGGATGCACGATATCTAGTGCCAAGAGAAACTCATATTCTTGGCAGGCGATAGCCGACGCGGTATAGAAAATACCGAAGGTCCTTTATCTCAGTGTGGTGAAAGACAGTGTGATTCAGTCGCTCTTTTGGTATATATGAAGGATTAGTAAGTTTTGAATATTCTGTGAAAATTTTATCAAACTTGGAAGGACATAGAAGAACGCTTAAGGTACTGCTAACCAGGCAGAATAAGATCAGCCTTTCCCTTTGAAGACTGCATAGTCTCAACATCAGTTACACTGTTATTTTTAGCGTCAGTAAATAATTTAAACTGCTTTCGAAAATCAGTGCCTGTGATAGATTGACTAACTCTGGCTATTACGAAAAACAAAGTGAAATTTTGCTGTACATTTAGTCAAGAATCCGACATCATTTACCAAAGGTTGGTATTTTTGGTTCATTTGGCCGCATAAAGAACAAATCCCTCATTCACAACTGCTTTTAGTGTGACTAATCTGAAGGATGGAAATATCTGCTCTCGTGTCAAGCAAATATTTCAATTTAGGTGAAGGGTCGGCTAAAAAAGGCGATTTACACGGCGGTTATGGACCAACTGCGGGCGCTGAATTAGTTTCCCTAGTACGTGAAGAAGCATGGGGAATAAATTTTAAAAAAATGGGGGAAAAAGACTTTTACAGACATTATCAAACCCATATAGCCGTCATTTACGACATGATATGAATATTATCGCTTTACATTAAGTTTAGTGATAAAAAAAGCCCGAAATATGCCTTTTCCAAATTTTTATATCCAGTAATATCTCTACCATTTAAAAAATACACATTACATATATTATTGCCTTAAAATACCTAGCTATCCAAAAATCAAGCTTTTTAAAAATTTTTTCTATAGATGTGCCCGAGGTTTCCGGGAAAGGCCTAAGAAATGATAGTGTGAATGATATTCTTCGAAATCTTCTATGACTCCTCTCGTAGTTTTCAATTTTATTCTTGGTTCTCTCAGTTATTGTCTACATCTATTCTAGATAAAATTATCTGTGATGATACGGCTAAAAGATAAAAGGCTCTGAGATAAATTCCAGAGAACAAGTACCGACCCCAAGTGCCCGGTCGTTGGATAGCAGGCATGCACACAAATGCATGTACCAAAAGTCTTGTCTTTCTAGCACTTCTTTGTTTCCCAATTATTGTTCCTGTACTTAAACGTCTTCCTTTCCAATGTGTCTCATTCTTCAGGTCTGGATGAAAAAAAAACCCTCTTTTGTAGTATATAGTTCTTAGTTAAAATATTTAAGATTTCACTTAATTTTTTCTCCTTTATCTAAATAAAATGTGAAAAGTGCTTGTTCTGAAATTTCTATATATTATTTGAAAATCAATAATTATGAGGATTTGTAACAAATAATTTTTCTCCGATAAAGTTTATCCAAAAATATATAATTCATTGCCGGGATAAAATACTTAATATCTAAAAATAAATTTCTCTTTAATTAGAGTAAATATTACTTTTAAAACTTTTTGCCTTATTTGAAATATTAGAATTTTGGACTTAGTTCACTTTCTTTCCGACTACATGAAATTCAAAAGCAGTTTGTATCTGGATGGTAATTATCTTAAATAATTTTTATCTAGAGTTTAAAGTTATTAGTCAGAAAAATACTAACATTTCAAACCGTCAAGACGCAAACAAAGAACTGCTTTTCAATCCGTCAATTGAATTTTAAAAAAACTTTCTGTGTACATAATATGAAAGCTTAGAACTAAGAACGTTATTATATCTTAAGTTAATTCATAGGTCTAGCGTCGAAAGAACAACACAAAATGCTCACTTCCAGTAACTGCCAAACAATGGCTTGTCACGAACCACGATTTAAATAGCTCCAAACGCGAGAGGCGTTCTGCCTTTCTCTAATTATTGTAATCTTTCCCATTCGTAACGAAAAGGGACAGGAAAGAGTTTGATGAAACAAATGGTAAGTCAGTACCATCAATCGACAGCGTTTCTCGCGTGTGCCTTACCGCCACGTCTTACCAACCTCACGCCCTGAAGTTGCACGATTCCTGTGACTTAAGACTGAATTTCTATTTGCAAGAGGCCATGTTTTTATTCTGCACGTTGTCATTAGTTTAATTAGATCCTCCGTTAATCTTTTGACCTTTCGTGGCCTGATCAGGAGCGGTGTGGTTGTTTCTACCAGTTTCTAAGAGAATGGTAATAAAGACTTTGACAATGAGATGAGGATGAATAGAAAGTGCTTTGTGTTACGGATATAACAGCGGTCGGGGAACTTTTTTAATCATTACCCCAAAAGATTTTTGTGTAAGTTGATATTACCCCATGGCGAAGAGCAAAAAAAAAAAAAAAAAGAAAGAAAGAAAGAAAGAAAGAAATCGCCTCTTTTTAGCATCTTTCATATTATAGCCCCCCCATGATAATTTTGAAAAGAAAACAATAACTAAAAATTTAATTTAAACATCATTTATTCAATTTATAAATGTAATACCTAGTAATACATAACGGTAATAATAGTAATATAAGTAATATATATAACAAACTGAAACCCATTGGGATACAATTGAGGGTTGACAATTTGGGGTACCGTAACAAATTATAATAATAATAATAATAATGGTGGTACAAACAAAAATTAGAATTGAAAAAATTAGAAAAAAAAAGAATAATTGAAAACATTCTTCCTTCACGTTTTGGAGAAATGATGTTGTTTCATGTTCGATACAATTGCTTCAAAATTGGGACTTTTTGATGTAAGAGCGATTTGAATACAGTCTTCGGCGTTTAATCGCTTTCTGTTCTTCGTTTTTATGTTCGTTAGAGTGGAAAAGCCTTGTTCGTACAAATATGTTGTTCCAAATGGCAGCAATTTTTTAACCGCCTCTTCATGTGCAATTTTGAAAGCCTTTGCAGCTTTTGACATCCAAAAAGACGACAGATTTGGGTTACTCTCAAATTGAATACGTACTTCAGTATTAGATCGAAGTTCAAGAATTGCTTCTGCCAAACCTGAAGGTTCTTCTGGTATCATAGCAATTTCACATTTAAAAGGATCTACAATCCAACTGACAGTACGTATATCAAAATCTGGAAAGTAATCTGAAAACCGCTTTCTGAGTTTGGTAAGATGTCTTACAATTGTATCCTTGATGTCAGCAAAAGTAATATTTTCGCAATCTTCCAAAAACAAAGCTAACCTTGAAAAAGAAGCTATCTTGTTCTGATCTACTTTCTGTCTCCAATATTGCAGCTTTAATCCAAACGCTGACACTATTTCTCTCGCTGAAATGATATTAATATTCTTTCCTTGCAATTCTTTGTTTAATATATTTATATTCTCAAAAATGTCCGCTAAATATGCGAGATATGCAACCCAGGAAGAGTTTTTAAACTTATCTGCGAGAATATTTTTTTGATCAACCATAAAAATTTCGACTTCAGTTTTGAGAGTCCATACTCGATTTAGTACATTTCCGCGAGACAGCCACCTTACTTCTGTATAATAAAGTAGGTCCGTATATTCAGCTTCACCGTCCTGACAGAATTTACGAAATAGCCGCGTGTTTAGTGCATGTCCCTTGATAAAATTTACAATCTTGATGACATCATGCATGACAGCTTCCAGTGTAGGTTCTAAATATTTGACCATAAGGGCCTGGCGATGGATCATACAGTGAGTAACTCCAATATTTGGGTTATTTTTTTTACGAAAGCCGAAAAACCATTAATATGACCCAGCATAGCTGGAGCTCCATCCAAAGATACAGCAATACAGTTTTCCCATTTTAAACTTTGCGCATTGAAGTATTCATTTACTTTATTGTAGACATCAATTCAACTCGAGAGGAGAACAAAATAGCAATTCCTCTTTAAAATTATCTGCACCTTTGTAGCGAACATATACCATTAGCTGTGAATTGCTACTAAAATCAGTTGTCTCATCAAGCTGAATAGCAAAATATTTAGCCTGTTTTAATGCGAAAATAACCTGTTTCTTCACATTTTCTGCTAATATAGAAATTCGTTCTTTCACAATTCTCGCAGACAAGGGCACTGAATTCAGTTTCTTCGCTTCTTTTTGACCACAAGCCTTCCCAGTGGAGCGGTGTTTGAGACACCAGGGTGCCTGTGCCAGAGGCACTACCCTTGTAGATCATATTAGACGTTTCGATTCACAATACAGTTAGCCAAAATAAAGAATATCGAACAGTTTTTTTTTTCTTTTTTATATTACTTTTGTAATTTTTTATTTTTAAATTTTGTTTTATTTTTTTATTTTATTTTTTTATAATATTTTTTTTAATTCATTTTTAATTTTTTTTTCCTTTTTAAATTGAGCCTGAACTCATTTTTCTTTTAGAATAAACAAGGCCAGAAAGCAGTCGAGCTGGTGAATTGTCCCTGGAAAGGAATGTGTTAATACATGGACAGAGAAGTGTGAAGATTTTGGTGCCGAAGAATAGATAAGCAGTGTGAAGATTGAAGCTATAAGTATGAAAAGCAGTACTGTACACCATATAAAATGAAAACAGTATAATATAAATAAGAGAGAAATATAAAAATAGTACAACAGTTACAATAATCCAAATATTTAGTAAGGCCAGCGGCCTGTCTTTGTTATTCAGATCATTAAAATCATATGTTTGCAATCTTAATGGCAGGGTTGGTTAGGGTACTTTGTTTCATGTGGAATTTTTTGCTATTTTATAATAAAAGGACCTTAGCATACATACACCAAGTTCCTCATGAATACGGTTGTTCCTGATGTACCAGGGAGCATTAACAATCTGCCGAAGCATGATATTTTGAGCAATTTGTAGTTTTCCACGATATCGATTGCAAGCATAAGCCCAGACAGGGCAAGCATAACAGAGTAATGGACGCATAATGGTTTTATAAATGAGCAGTTTGTTATCGACAGATAAAACACTGTTTCGAGCAATTAAGGGGTAGAGTCTAGCTTTACGAGCTCGAAACTTTTGTATACTAGCTGTAATGTGTGGGTTCCATGAGAGTGTCTTACTGAGGATCACCCCTAGATAAGGGACCTGCTTGGCCCAGGGGATGGAGTTTCCATAGAATTTCAGGTTAGACTTGAATTTTTGCTTTCTGGTGAACATTATTGCTTGAGTTTTGTTGATATTGATTTGAATTTTCCATTTGATCAGCCAAGCCTCTAGTGAATGTATGTATTTTTGTAATCGTTGTATAACTGAACCAGCAAATGCACCTTGTGATAGGATAGCAGTATCGTCAGCATACATGGCTAATGTTATGTCGTGTGATGTTGGGATGTCGTTCACGTAGATATTGAAGTATGTGGGTCCTAAAAGGGACCCTTGTGGGACCCCAGCCCTGATGGGGTGAGGTGTAGAGTTTGTACCAGATACGTGAACGACAAAGTTTCTACCTGCTAGGTAGGACTTAGTGATGTTTATGATGTAGCCAGGGAAACCCAGGCTGTGTAATTTGTAGGTGAGTGCCTCAAGCCAAACTCTGTCGAAGGCTTTTGCTATGTCAATAAAGACTCCTCCAGTGACTCTTCGGTTCTGAAATCCCTCTGAGATGAGTTCCACGACTCTGTATAGCTGGTTGGTGGTGCCAAGGTCTTTTCGGAATCCAAACTGGTAGGGAATGATGATGTTGTTGCTTTCCAGATAGTTGTTAATTCTATCGAGGAGTACAGCTTCAAAGACCTTGCTTAGCGAAGAGAGTAGACTAATGGGTCTATAGGATTCAGGACTGGATGAAGGTTTACCAGGTTTTAGTATGGGAATTATCTTGGCAGTTTTCCAGAAGGCAGGGTAGTGTTGTAACAGAAGCATTTTATTGAAGATTTTGCAGAGGAGAAAGATGATCTTGGTATGTAGTTTCTTAATCATTTCATTCGTGATTCCATCTAGGCCAGGACTTTTCTTCTTCTTGATTTTATTGACATAGCTAGTCACCTCCAAAGGCATGACAGGAGGGATGTTGTTAGCGTATGGATTTGTTGGGAGCATAGAGTGAAAGTAGTTGACAAGTATATCTGTTTGGGGGTCTTGAATTGTTAGTGCAAAACTGAGATTCCAGGAGCTGTACTTTTTTTGACCACACATAATCTCTACCATTTTTACAGCAGCTGGTTTAACCAAATCTTCACCAATAGTGTATAGTTTCTTATTTCGAGCAATCAACCAGGCTACTTCAAAGCTAATATACTTTTTACTCACAAAAGTTTCATTTTTACCCCGAAAAATTTCATTTTTACCCCCATTTGGGGTAATTTACCCCGGTTCCCCGACCGCTGGGATATAATGTTAATAAATACTTCATTCAGTGTACAGTAAGAGGAAACAGGCGAAATTTCATGCTCAAGCTCAGAAGGGCGGGCATGTTTTGCCCATCCCTGAATCGAATTAGCCGAATTAGAATGTTTTCAATTATTTATTTCTTCATCATTTAATTGCATTGGAAACAAATTCTTGTTCACACAAATAGGTTGTGCAAACGGCAATAAAAATTTGAAAACTTTTTTTGAAATACTGTTGTTTAGGTCAGCCAAAACTTAACAAGTATGTTATTTTTGAAATCAGCAGTTAGAGTTCGATCACAGAAAATTTCTACTAGTTTTAACTTTTCCTCATGAGATTCAGTTTCAGGTACATTTGAACAAAATGGATTTCTGATGCAATTTTCTTTTACATAATCCTCGGGAAAATACATGTTAAAATTATTTATCAATGAAAAACAATGATTTTTAATATCGAATGCTAATTCTTCTTTTGTTTTCAAATTATTTTCGGTTAGAAAACTTTATAAAAGTGGTAAAACGCTTAAAATATTATTATCCAATTCTTTGATTATTAGCTCAAGTTTTTTTATCATTGCGTTTATTTTATCTCTAACGGTAAACAAATTAACACTTTGTCCTTGTCATCCTAAATTTAATTCATTTAACTTTCAAAAAATATCAGATAAATATGCTAACCACACCAACCATAATTCACTAAGTAAAAAATTTTTCAATTCAAATTTTAAATCACAGAGGAAAATTTGAATTTCTGATCGAAGTTCGAAAAGAGGATTTAAAACTGTGCCTCTGGATAACAACCTTACTTCGGAATGTAACAAAAGTGTTTTATGTTCACTGCCCATCCCTTGGCATAAAATCGTAAATATTCTTGAATTTAAAGCTCGGCCTTTAATAAAAATTAGCAATTTTCATAGCTTGATTTACAACGATTTTCAGGTTTTGGGTATTTTTTGGGGGGGGGTGGGCTATTAAAGCTTCACAATGAATAGAGCAGTGAGTACATTTAGTTTCAGATGCGACTTTCTTTATTTGAGAAATAACACAGGAATGTTTTCTTGTTAAACCCCGAGCTCCGTCATTGCATACCGCATCGTACTTATTCCAAGGAATATCATTTTTAGACATAAGATTGTCAATTACTTTGAAAATTTCATTTGTAGTTGCTTTATCATGAAGAGATTCACAAAATAAGTGCTCTTCGGCAAAACGTTTATCTTCTTCGAAACGTACATAAACTAATAATTGAACAAAGTTAGTTATATCAGTACTTTTAATTAATTACAATGTGAAATACTCACTGTGCTTTATTTTTTAATAAGTTTTTAATCGAATTTGCCTACTTACTGTATCATTTGATAACGAATTATTATTGAGCTCATTAGCTGCGTTTCCGTTGAATATTGTTGAAATGATATCTTTAGCTGCTGGTAATATAAGGTTTTCTCCAATAGTGTCAGCCTGCCCAGCCTTGTCAATTTTTAGACTTACTAGGTAACTAGCTTCCAAAGATTTTTCACTTGAAGTACCAAAGCCTTTCATTACTTATTTACTATTTTTGGTCTCTGAGAATTTCCTCTTAAAATATTCTTCAGCTTTATCCTTTAAATTGGCATGCTTAGATTCAAAATGTCTTTTCAGAAACAGTGGTTTCATACTTTGATTGGATAATAGTTCACAGCAAACAACACATTAGATGTTGAGGGTCCATTTTATCTCCATTCTAAGCAAACACAAATGATAAATAACTTGCATCATATTTTCTATAAAACATTTTTCTTTTCATTTCATTGTCCTGGATCCATTACCTGTGAATCCTCACTTTTCTGCTTAGTCAATCATAGCTATTTTTTTATTTTAGAAATCTAGGTTTGTTTTATTATTCTTCAAGAAATATTTAAATGCACGATGTATTACGAGTTTTTCAAAAATAAACGACGATATTCGCAAATCGCGTAGAAAAGTAAGGAATGCAAAGCAGCAAGAAGACAAAATACCTGCTGTTAGAGCAGCAAATCGACGTAAAAAATTATTCTAATTGAAAACAGAGCAGCAATAAGAGCCCGGAAATCGTGGCGAACAAAGTTTAGACATGCCAATAAATCGATCAACTCTGAAAGAATTAATGAGATACTATTATCTTTTTATAGGAACTATTTTGATTTCCTATTAAATATATCCGTTTCTATTACTGATTTTAAAAACATCGTTTATGAAAAATTTTGTTTTGTCTTTGGCTAAAAGAATATTTGTGAATATAAAAACGGATTATTTTGCTAAAGTCTATGAACGGCTATAGACCTTGAACAGAGCTCAGATAGCATAAATTTACGAATGTTGGAGAAAAAACATAAACA